TCTCACCCAGACTGGAGTGCAATGGCCGCTTCCGGCCACCGCAGCCTCGACCTGCTGGGCTCCGGCGATCATTCCGCCTCAGCCTTCCGAGTAGCCGGAATTACAGGCATGCGCTACCACGCCCGACTGATTTTTTGATTTATTGTAGAGATGAGGTCTCGCTGCCCAGGCGGGTCTCGAACCCGTGGGCTCAGGCAATCCACTCACCTCAGCCTCCCAAAGGCACGGGATTACAGGCTGAGCCATCGAGCCCGGCTTTTACTCAGTCTTAAAGAAGAATGAAGTACTGTACATTCCACAACATGGATGAATTTTGAAACCTTTATGCTAAGTGAAAGAAGCCAGACACAAAAGGTCACATATTATATAATTCCATTTATATGAAGCATCCAGAATAAGTAAATCCATAGATACAGAAAGTGGATTAGCTCTTGGCAGGGCCTGGGGAGAGGGGAGAATAGGGAAGCGACTGCATAATGAATATGGGGTTTCCTTTTGGTGTAATGAAATGTTCTAGAACTAGATAGTGGTAGTAGTTGTACATTATTTTGAATGTATTTAATGCCATTGAATTGTTTACTTTAAAATGGTTCAAAAGACCAGATACAGTGGCTTACACCTGTAATCTCAGCACTTTGGGAGGCCAGGGTGAGAGGATCACTTGAGCCCAGGAGTTCAAGACCAGCCTGGGCAACATAGTGAGACTTCTTCTCTACAGAAAATTTAAAAAATTAGCCAGACCTGGTGGTGGGCCTGAAGTCCCAGCTATTAGGGAGGCTGAGGCAAGAGGATCACCTGAGCCCAAGGAGATTGTGGTGAGCTGTGATCATACCACTGCCATCCAGCCTGGGCAACAGAGTAAGTCTTTGACTAAAAAAAAAAATTGCTTGAAAAGACAAAATTTATGTTATGTGTATTTTATCACAATTGAATGAAAACACTGGTTATGTTAAAATATCCTCAGGAATTTTCAGGAAGAGTAGCCTGGTGTACCTAGTTTCCTTCCTGATGCCCTCTCAGTTCCAGAGAATGGATTACTCTCAGAGACTTGTCCCCTCTGTCCTTGACCAGATCACACATGAAGCTCCATTCCTGTTTGCCACCTCCATTCCTGTTTGCCATCTGAGGCTGACACAGTGAATAGGACCCAAGCTTTAAAAATAATGTACAGAAATTGTATCCTCTTTGCACTGTATCTTAAATGGAAGTGTGTGTGTGTTGGTCTCGCAAATGCTTTTTCTGCCAAATTGCGTAATGACTGATTGTTATTTTTAAAAACTAGAATAGGAAAACCTTTTTTTTTTTTTCGAGTCAGAGTCTCACTCTGTCACCTAGGCTGGAGTGCAGTGGCATGACCATGGCTCACCACAGCCTCGACCTCCTGGGCTCAGGCGATCATCCCATCTCAGCCTCCCAAGTAGCTGGAACTACAAGCACACACCACCACGCCCAGCTAATTTTTAAATTTTTTGTAGAGATGAGGTTTCACTGTGTTGCCCAATCTGGTCTTGAACTCCTGGACTCAAGCAATCCTCCTGCCTTGGCCTCCCAAAATGCTGAGATTACAGGTGTGAGCCACCAGGCCTAGCCTAGAATAGGAAAATCTTTTTTTTTTTTTGAGTTGGAGGCTCACTCTGTCACCCAGGCTGGAGTGCAGCGGCACGCTCATGGCCACTACAGCCTCGACCTGCTAGGCTCAGGTGATCCTTCCGCCTCAGCTTTTCAAGTAGCTGGAACTACAGGCATGCGCCACCCATGCCCGGCTAATAAGTCTCATCATTTAAGCCTACTTCTTATGGGAAAATCCGGGATGCTTCAGGCTTGCCTGCCACCTTCTTTTCCTGTTGCCAGTTCATTCCCTCCTGAACCAGTGGCTTTTTTTTTTAAATGATAGTCTTCCTATGTTGCTCAGGCTGGATTTGAGCTCTTGGGCTCAAGCGACCCTCCCACCTCAGCCTCCCAAGTAGCTGGGACTACAGGTGTGCCACCACATCCAACACAGATGACTTTTGAGCATTTGCCTTAGATGGGCAGAAAAGTGGGTTCACGGTTTATAGTCTCCTTGGGCTTCAAGTGCAACAAAGCCCATTCTCACAAGCCTACATATTACGTGGATATGTTGACCAGGATTCTTGCCACACTATCTGTTCCACAAGTGGTAGTTTATAGTTTCTAAATAACTTGCTTTATGCTATGCCTGTGATTTATCTGTTCCACAAGTGGTAGTTTATAGTTTCTAAATAACTTGCTTTATGCTATGCCTGTGATTTAAAAAAAAAACTCACAAATACTAACAATTTGAATATTAATTTTTCATCAAGTAACTTTATGCAGTAGCTAGGGTGCCCTGACATTTGTCCCCAGCTGTCACAAATGCAAAGTCCATACTGTCACATATCTCTCTGTGGACTACCTTGTGTGTGCCCCAGACCTTGCCTGGCTGAACGAGTGAGACTTGATCCTTCCATCATCTTGAGTGTGGTTGTTTGCTGTGTTCCTAAAATACAATTCTTGTTTTTGTTTTTGTTTTTGTTTTTAAATCAGAGTTTCACTCTGTCTCCCAGGCTGGAGTACAGTGGCATACTGTTCATGGCCACCGCGGCCTTGGCCTGCTGGGTTCAGGTGATTCTTCCGCCTAAGCCTTCCAGGTAGCTGGAACTACAAGCATGTGCCACCATGCCTGGCAAATTTTTTTTTAATTGTAGAGACGAGGTCTCTACATGTTGCTCAGGCTGCCCTAAAATACAATTCTAAAGAACAGATTTTTAATTGACCGTGTGAACATGTTCATTTGTGTCTTTGCCAGGGTCACATCAATTGCAGACAGGTTGAATGTGGAATTTGCTTTGATCCACAAAGAGAGAAAGAAGGCAAATGAAGTGGACCGGATGGTCCTGGTGGGCGATGTGAAGGACCGCGTGGCTATCCTCGTGGACGACATGGCCGACACGTGTGGCACCATCTGCCATGCTGCAGATAAGTACGCAGGATGGTGGGGAAAGTGCTAGGACCTCTTACTAAGAAAAGGAACCATACCAGCTTTTAGAAGTTGGACCTGTTTTTCCTGATGATTGCTGATTGCTTGACAGTAGAGTTTTAGACTAAAGGAGATTCTGGGCTCATTTATCTGTACCATTCTTTTCTTGGTAGAAAAGAAAGCATGAACCCTTTCATTTTCCAGGCTGAGCTTGTATATTTGATAAAAGGTCAGAAAAGGTGCATCTCTTGACATTGAGCACAGAAGGAAAGAATTTTTCGGGCTCCTTTGAGCCTTTGCTTTTTTCTGTTTAACCTTTGCACAAACCTTCTCAGCCCATGGGTTTCTGGAGAATTCATAGAGCTGCTATCCATTATGGAAGCTACCACCCAGCCACACAAGGCTGTGAAGCTCTTAGAAGGTGGCCGGTCTGACTTAAAATGCACACCAGGTTTCAAAGGCTTACATGGATACACAGCAAACATGGTATAAGAATGTAACTTGTGGGCCGGGCGGGCTCGGTGGCTCAGCCTGTAATCCCAGCACTTTGGGAGGCCAAGGTGAGTGGATTGCCTGAGCCCGCGGGTTCGAGACCCACCTGGGCAACTTGGCGAGACCTCATCTCTACAATAAATCAAAAAATGAGCTGGGCGTGGTAGCGCGCGCCTGTAGTTCCAGCTACTCGGAAGGCTGAGGCAGAAGGATCACCGGAGCCCAGCGGGTCGAGGCTGCGGTGGCCGGGAGCGGCCACTGCACTCCAGTCTGGGTGACAGAGTGAGACTCCAACTCAAAAAAAAAAAAAAAGAATGTAACTTGTGAATGAAAAAATGTAAATATCTCATTAATAAGTTTTTTATTGATTACACATCAAAATTATATTTTGGCTGTATTGCCTTAAACGGGTGGTTCAAAACCAGGGATGATTTTACTCCCTAGGGGACATTTGACAATGTCTGGAGACATTTTTGGTTGTCACAATTGAGGGGAGAAGGGTGTTGCTAGTGGGTAGAGGCTAAGGCTGCTGCTGAATTTTCCTAGAATACACAGGACAGCCCACACGACAAATAATTATCTGGGGCCAAGGTTGATCATTTCTGATTTAAAGGAATAGAGAGTGTTTTGCTAACACATACCTTGAAAGATCCTCTTCTAGGGAAATAAAAGTGGGTAAAATCTATTTCCTCTTTTCCTTCAAACCATTCATACTAGGGGTGAGTATCTCAAGAATTTGTGTGTACACTTAATTTTTTATCTTTTGCTTTTTTGCAGGTTGCTCTCTGCTGGAGCCACCAAAGTTTATGCTATACTTACCCATGGGATCTTCTCGGGACCAGCTATTTCGAGGATAAATAATGCCGCCTTTGAGGCTGTTGTTGTCACAAACACAATTCCACAGGAGGACAAAATGAAGCACTGCGCCAAGATTCAGGTACTGTCTACACTGCAGGCAGAACAAAGCAGCCAGATACCGACTTCACATCCTTAAAAATAGCATTGAGTCTTCTGTGTGTGACTCCTTGTTAAGGCAAATACTGCCAGTGGTGGTAGCTTTTCATAACTGTGGGATATAAATCACATTAGGTGCCTGAGAAAGGCCAGTGCCAGCAGGCGTCAGTGTTCACTGTTTAGAAATAGTGAGTAAGAGCTGGGTGCTGTGGCTTACACCTGTAATCCCAACACTTTGGGAGGCAGAGGCGAGAGGATTACCTGAGCCCATGGGTTCGAGATCAGCCTGGGCAACACGGCAAGACCTGTTCTCTACAATAGATCAAAAAATTAGCCGGGCATGGTGGCATGTGCCTGTAGTTCCAGCTACTTGGAAGGCTGAGGCAGAAAGATTGCCTGAACCCAGCAGGTCGAGGCTGCGGTGAACATGCCACTGTCCCCTAGCTTGGGTGACAGAGTGAGACTCCAACCAAAAAAAAAAAAAAAGGATGGAAGGAAGAAATAGCCAGTGAGGCAGGTGGTGACTCATACCTGTAATCCCAGTACTCTGGAGGTGGGAGGATTGCTTGAGCCCAGGAGTTTGAGACCAGCCTAGGCAACATAGTGAGACCTCATCTCTACAAAAAAAAAAAAAAAAAGTTACCCAAGCATGGTGATGAGTGCCTGTAGTCCCAGCTACTTGGGAGGCTAAGGCAGAAGGATTGCCTGAGCCCAGGAGGTAGAAGCTATGGTGAGCCATGATTGTGCCACTGCACTCCAGCCTGGATGACAGAGTGAGACCCTAACTCAAAAAAAGAAAGAACGAGTGAATAAAACCACAATAGAAAAAACAGTCAGACACAAGCTGTGCTATAGCTGAACTTAGAATTACCATATGAACCAACAATCCACCCCTAGGTATATACCCTCAAAGTTCAGAAACACTTTCAAATGAAAACTTGTACATAAATATTCATAGCAGCACTTTTCATAATAGCCAAAAGGTAGAAACATCCAAATGTCCATCAACACATGTGCAGATAACCAAAGTGTTGTCTATTGCCACGATGGAATACAATCCAGCCTTTATTTTTATTTATTTTATTTATTTATTTATTTTTAGTTGGAGTCTCACCCAAATGTCCATCAACACATGTGCAGATAACCAAAGTGTTGTCTATTGCCACAATGGAATACAGTCCAGCCTTTATTTTTATTTTATTTTATTTTATTTATTTATTTATTTATTTATTAATTTTTAGTTGGAGTCTCACTCTGTCACCCAGACTGGAGTGCAGTGGCCGTTCCTGGCCACCGCAGCCTCGACCTGCTGGGCTCCGGCGATCCTTCTGCCTCAGCCTTCCAAGTAGCCAGAACTACAGGCACGTGCTACCACGTCCGGCTAATTTTGATTTATTGTAGAGATGAGGTCTCACCAAGTTGCCTGGGCGGGTCTCGAGCCTGCGGGCTCAGGCAATCCACTCACCTCGGCCTGTAATCCAACCTTTAAAAAAGAAGGAAATCTGACCCATGCTATAGTGTGGATGAACCTTGAAAATAGTATGCTAAGTGACAAAAAGCCAGACACAAAAGGAGGAATATTGTGTCTGTGCTTAGCATGGTACCTAGCATAGGAAAATTCATAGAGACAAAGTAGAATGGTGGTTCCCAGGGACTGGGGGAGGGAGTAATGGGGAGTTATATCTAATGGGTACATAGTTCTTTTTGGGGGTGATGAAAAAGTTTTGGAAATGGATAATGGTGAAAGCTATACAACATAGGGAATGTAGTTAATGCCGCTGAATTGTATACTTAAAAATGGTTAAAATGGCAAATTTTATTACGTATATATATACACACATATATATATATAAGCACAATTTTAAAAATGAGGGTGGGGGCAATAGGCTGTGCTGAGATTCTTCAGAGCTTTGCTCCCTCCTATCCCTCCTGACTGGATGCTTGTAGACCACCAGAGAGCTGGTAGTAGTCACTTGACACCAACTGGCCTGAAATAAATAAAAAGGTCTGAGTCCCCATTTTGTCTGGTCACAGTAAACCTTGGCAAGTCATTTCATCGCATGACACCTTGGTTTCCATCAGCAGAGCATGAAGGTGGGTCACAGTGATCTGCTTCATGATTTCTCATTCATCAGAGAGAAAAACAGTTCAGTTGACTTGAGGAGATAAATCTGAAAGGGGTCAAAATAATGGTGCCTTATATTTTCATGCCGGATTAGCAGTAGTTTAGGTTGGGAGTTGGCACACAGGCCAAATCCAGCCCATCATCTGCTTTTGTAAATAAAGTTTTATTGGCTCACAGCCACACCCATTCACATGTGTGTTGCCTGTGGCTGCTTCCATGCTATAACTGCAGAGTAGAGTATTTGTGATAGAGACCGTCTGGCCGACAAAGTCAAATATATTAAGTCTCTGGTCCTTTATAGAAAAAGGAGTTTACAGCCGGGCATGATGGCTCAGGCCTGTAATCCTAGGACTTTGGGATGCAGAGGCAAGAGGATTGTCTGAGCCCAGGGGTTCGAGACCAGCCTGAGCAACATGATGAGACCTCATCTCTACAATAAATCAAAAAATTAGCCGGGCATGGTGACACTCACCTGTGGTTTCAGCTACTTAGAAGGCTGAGGTGGAAGGATCACCTGAGCCCAGCAAGTTGAGGCTGTGGTGTCCTTGAGCATACCACTGCACTCCAACCTGGGACTTCTGCTAAAAAACAACAACAACAACAACAGCAATAAAGAAGTTTGCTGACCCCTGGGTTGGATGATCACAGCTGTGCTCTTAAATGACACAGTCATTGCCTTTTCAGAAGCAAAAAGAGAGAAAAACCTCCCGTATAATGATTGACTAAAATTAACTTTAAAATGACTAACACCCCTAAATAAGGATGTCTCTGATTAATGCTAGCCCTAAAAAGCCTTTGAGCATCTACACTGAAAATCTCCCTTCCAGGGTTTCATATAAGACACACCCCAAGCCGGGCTTGGTGGCTCAGCCTGTAATCAATCCCGTGCCTTTGGGAGGCTGAGGTGAGTGGATTGCCTGAGCCCGCGGGTTCGAGTCCCGCCTGGGCAACTTGGCGAGACCTCATCTCTACAATAAATCAAAAATTAGCCGGGCGTGGTAGCGCGCGCCTGTAGTTCCGGCTACTTGGAAGGCTGAGGCGGAAGGATCGCCGGAGCCCAGCAGGTCAAGGCTGCGGTGGCCAGGAGCGGCCACTGCACTCCAGTCTGGGCAACAGAGTGAGACTCCAACTCACAAAATTAAAAAAAAAAGACACACCCCAAGGCCAGGCATGGTGGCACACGCCTATAATCCCAGCACTTTGGGAGACCAGGGTGAGAGGATTACCTGAGCCCATGGGTTCGAGACCAGCCAGGGCAACTTGGGGAGACCTCGTTTCTACAATAAATCAAAAAATTAGTGTGGTGGTACGTGCCTGTGGTCCGAGCTACTTGAAAGGCTGAGGCAAAAAGATCACTTGAGCCCAGCAGGTAGAGGCTGCGGTGACTGTGAGAGTGCCGCTGTACTCCAGCCTGGGCACAGAGTGAAACTCCAACTCACAAAATAAAAAATGACAATGCTGGGCACGGTGGTTCAAGCCCATAATCCCAGCACTTTGGGAGACCGAGGTGAGAGGATTGCCTGAGCTCAGGGATTCGAGATCAGCCTGGACCACTTGGTGAGACCTAGTTACAATTATATCAAAAAATTAGCCAGACATGGTGGCGCATGCCTGTGGTTCCACCTACCTGGAAGGCTGAGGCAGAAGGATCGCCTGAGTCCAGCAGGTCTGGGCTGAGGTGGCCATGAGCATGCCGCTGCACTCCAGCCTGTGTGACAGAGTGAGACTCTTGACTCAAAAAAAAAAAAAAAATGACATACCCCAAAGTTATCTGTCCCCTCAAAAGAAGTGGGTGTGGGAGGTTTTGATTATAACATATCATATGTGCTAAAGAAATTGTTTCTCAGATTACTGGCTGTTCAGTGTTTAAAAAACTCTAAGATGTCCTGCTTCCCGTCTTTCTGGTTTTTTTGTTTTTGTGTTTGTTTGTTTGTTTGTTTTGTTTTGGTTGGCATTTAGGTCATTGACATTTCCATGATCTTGGCCGAGGCGATCCGAAGGACACACAACGGGGAATCCGTGTCCTACCTGTTCAGCCACGTCCCGCTATAAATCCAGAATGTGAAGTGTCCAGAAAATCTACTCTGACTTCTGACTTGTTTTTGTTTGTCTGATTTTTTTAGCTTTAGGACTTAGCAATGATAGGCTAATTACTGGCAAAGGCATCAGATCTTTGTATACTCTAAGATTCATTTTTCTCCATTTCTCCATTGTTTCTCCAGAGTTCAAGATCATTTCTTTCCAGTTTTTGAGGGGAGGGTGGTGGCTATTTGGTCTTGGAGTGAACTGTCTCAAATGAGAAATGTTTTTGTCATCTTGACTTGTTCTGACAGGTGATGTTTTCCTTTGTTCTTTCAGTATTTTGAGGCAGCAACTGTCAAGTATATAATTTCATTGTGGAAGTTCATAGTTTATATATATTCGAGGTTGCCAAAGGTGACTTCATATTAAAGCCTTTTGTGTATATACTAATAATGCCTATGGACATTTGGGTAAAACCCTGTAGGGAATTAATTAGCCCTTTACTTTGGAGTGAACCTTAGAAAATTTATAATACCATTAATTTTGAATTACTTACTTTCTTTCCTTTTTTCTGTTTTTTTGATAACTGGGTTTTAAATAGACCATCTTGGGTATTTAACTGGACCAAATTTGATTTGGCTTAAGATGGCCCTTGACACTTTTTTTTCACAAACATTAAACACATCAGAGGCAGTGTAGTTCTGTATAACTTTTTTACTACTTTTGAAATATATTATAACTATCACTAACCTGAAATGCCATGTCCTAAAAATCCAGTTATGTTCAGCAATTGCTTTGATTTGTAAACCATTTTGAGATATAGTCTGTGAACTTATTGTCACAGTGATGCTTTCCTTTGTCCTATTATCTTGTTCTTTTACTTCATATTTTTGCCTATAACTTCTACTTTGCATTTTTTCAATAATTTCATATTGTAGATTTCCACCAAAATAAAGACTCCCTTGTATCCCCTCAAATTTGCTAGTCTGATCATTATTTTGCTTTTGGCATAAATTAAAAGGTGACTTTATGAGTGCCACCAAATGCATATTTAATATTATTTTGTTACTTTTGATTCAGTGTCCTTTTGCCCTTCGTAATCAGAATTAGCAAACATCTGGCAACTGATTATTTTTACTAAAACTGTCACAAGAGAACTATGGATAGGAGAGGCCTATAAAAAAAGTACAAATGAGTAAACATCAGTTGCTTCATCAGGATAATATTTAAAAAGTGACCATGGTCCATGCATGGTGACTCACACCTGTAATCTCAGCACTTTGGGAGGCTGAGGCAGGAGGACTACTTGAGCCCAGTAGTTCAAAACCAATCTGGGCAACATAGTGGGACCTCATCTCTACAAAAATTAAAAACAAAACACAATTTTAACAAGAAAAAAGTGACTGTGGAGAGGAAATTCACTGAGGATTGCCTTTACTGTAAGATGACCGTTACAACAGCCTCCTGAAAGAAGTGCCTCACAGAAGTCGTGTTGGCACTTTGTAAATTTTATTATACTTACATTGGTAGACAACTAACTGAATTCTTCAGCCCTAAAAGAAAAGAATTTGTCTGCATAGGCAAAGACTAGGAATGATAAACAGCTGTCTCCCTTCTGCCAAATCTTAAAACTGGTAGAGAATACATTCTCTGATCTAAGTTCTGCGGGTGGAAAAATCAAATCTATTTAAGTCATTAACAAACTTGAATGGCAATCTTTAGGATTTAAAACTTCATTACAGCAGAGATTGAATTGAAGTTAGAAAGTATCTTTTTAGTTGTTGCAGAAACTAGCATTTTTCTCTACCTTAAAATGGCTTTTGAGAAAGAATGATATTATAGCCTGGTAAAGTCAGCTATGTAGTACAGATTGAATATTTCTAGAAAGAGTTGACTTGAAGTGTATAAAGAGTCTATTTTGATGCTGTGTAACTTTTATTTTTGATAAACGTGTGACATCTGTATTTCTTGGAATTTCTGTGCTTTTGTAAAATAAAGATATAGTTGTAAACTTGCATATGTTGACAGCTTGACATATACGTGTGCAGGTTTAAACATGTGGACGGGACTAAAGCCAGTTGATTTAAAGGTAATCATTTTGTGTAAGATTAAATTTAAATTCTAAGAATGTATAGAGCTAGTTTTAAAATAATGGTTTTCAGATTGAAAAAATGGATATAGAAGTCTGCATTGTTATTCTCTGAATTAAGAACTGATGATTTCTATCATTCTTTAAGGCCCACTTTTGTATTTTAAAGTACTTCAGAATGTGCTGATGGACTAATTAGACTGGACTTAGCCATACACAGTAGAAATTCAGACCTTAACTATTTGATGTTTCCAGTTCACCAAAGGCGATGAAGACTGCCTCATGGGCAGCTTAATTCCAGACCTTTTGGGTTCCTTGCTACTCCTGGTGTGGAAACATGTGAGCCCACCAAATCTATTGGTCCTGTCCAACTCTGCTGAATAGGGGTGGACTTGGCATATATCTGGCCAGAAAGGGGATCCAGAGAAATTTGAATACACCAAGTTGTTTAACCTCCTATTTAAATTATATTAGTCAACTTATAGATACTCATATAACTTTTCTTTGTTAGATATGATGTCAACTAGATTCAAGAATATCATTTGCAGTGCTTGTATTGGCTTAGAATATAAGGTTTTCAGATCCTCAAACACTGTACTAAACATTTCAATAAAATCATACTGACCACTTTATTTCATAGTGTGTATCATCATTGTGGAGTAATATATTTGACGGTGTGATGTGTTGAGGCAGTACCTGAAAATGTTTGCTACTTTACAATGTTCATTGAAGTCAGCTCTTCCCCATTTTGAAGGTGTTCCTTTCTGAAGAACTTACTAGCGATCTGCTTTCCCCAAAGCATAACTACTGAGCCACATGTGGTATCCGAGTTTGTTTTGTTTCATTTTAATTTTTTTCTCTTCAGAGTCTTGCTCTATCCCCCAGGCTGGAGTGCAATAGCATGATCACAGTTCATCGCAGCCTCAACCTCCTGGGCCCAAGCAATCCCCCCACATCAGCCTCTCACGTAGCTAGGACTACAGGCACATGCCACCATGCCCGACTAATTTTTTTTTTTTTTTGTATAGACGGGGCCTATACAAAACATAGAGGTCTCGCTATGTTGCCCAGGCTGATCTCGAACTCCTGGGCTCAAGCAATCCTCTCACCTCGGCCTCCCAGAGTGTTCGGATTATAGGCATAAGCCACCATGCCTGGCCAAGTTTTTAATTCTCGCAGTTTCCCATAAAATTAAAGATTGCACAGTGTGTTTATACCTCAAAGTAGTGGTGTTCAATGTCCATCTATTGGAGCAGACCAAACTTAAATGTAGGCTGCATAGAAGTTCATGTGCTTATTTCAGAAACACCAAGAAACGTTCCTGTCCCCATTGAACAACCACCTGTTCAGTGATACTTCACATTACTCTTTTTTTTGAGTTGGAATCTCACTCTGTCGCCCAGGCTGGAGTGCAGTGGCATATTCAGGGCCACCACAGCCTCTACCTGCTGGGCTCAGGTGATTCTTAGGCCTCAGCCTTCCAAGTAGCTGGAACTACAGGCACGCGCCACCACGCCTGGCTAATTTTTTGATTTATTGTAGAGATGAGGTCTCGCCAAGTTGCCCAGGCTGGTCTCAAACCCTCTGACTCAGGCAATCTTCTCACCTCAGCCTCCGAAAGTGCTGGTATTATAGGCGTGAGCCACCACACCCGGCCCAAAAAAGTAAATGTATAATTATGTTCCTCCAGTGAAGTTCAGCTTTAAAGTATGGACAACGCTTGACAGTGACAACAGTTTGTCTTAAAGTCACAGTGAAATATGAAGAACTACAACCAAGTAAGTCCATTTGAGAAAAAAAGTTGATTACAGTGTGAGAGAATGTACTAGAAAGGAAGAGTGAAGGAGAGGTGGAAGCCAAAAACATTTCACCAGTGTTACGGTTGCACCAATAAGGCTGTCACTCCTCTTTGAAAGTGTTGCGTTTCCTGTCCCAAGTCCTCCTAGCCCACCAGCTGAACTGCAGGGGACAGGCAAAGTAGTAAAGGGAAAGACAGAGTACTAAAGCATGCAGAGAATCAAACCAAGCTGGGGAGATCAAAGAGGGCTTGATGAAGAGACCACCATTAGATGGTCCTTTATGGCAGAATTTTCCAGAACCCCCGGCTGTGTTCCAACATGGACTATGAAGCAGGACAGCAGAGGGTGTGCGGCGCATAATGTTTTTGAAAGATGTTATCCAGAGAGGGTGGGAGTGTGGGGCTGAAACATGTCCCAGTGCCCTTCATGTAAACTGCATGGAGAAGTCAGCAAAGTGTCTGCTTCTCAGCCGGGCTCGGTGGCTCAGCCTGTAATCCCGCGCCTTTGGGAGGCTGAGGTGAGTGGATTGCCTGAGCCCGCAGGTTCGAGACCCGCCTGGGCAACTTGGCGAGACCTCATCTCTACAATAAATCAAAAAATTAGCCAGGCGTGGTAGCGCGCGCCTGTAGTTCCAGCTACTTGGAAGGCTGAGCGGAAGGATCACTGGAGCCCAGCAGATCAAGGCTGGCGACAGAGTGAGACTCCAACTCAAAACAAACAAACAAAAAAAAAGTGCTTCTCACTAAGATACTCACCTTACCGATACTCTCCCTGTGCTTCAGAAACACATTCCTCCAACTTTTTCCTGCCCTTGCTTTCCAAAACCACGATCTGGGTGGTTTGCTTTATTGCCGTCTTTGAGCTCTATTTTTACCTCGGAAAGAACATAATACTCAGGAACACAGACTGCACCACTCATAAGAGTGAGAAAAACGACAGTAACAATAACTTTGGGCTGGTTGCCTAACCCTGCTCTGCTTCAGTTTCCTTATACGTACAAAATGGAAATAATAGTATGTTTCTCATGGAGTGTAAACAGGATAAATGAGATGATATCTGTAAAATGCTTAGAATTGATCAACTTGGCCAAGTGCAGTGGCTCACACCTATAATCCTAGCACTTTGGAGGCCAAGGCAAGATTGCTTGAGCCCTGGAGTTTGAGACCAGCCTGGACAACACAGCAAGCCCTCATCTCCACAAAAAATAAGTCGCCGTGGTACCTGCCTGTAGTCCCAGCTACTTGGAAGGCTAAGGCCGAAGGAATGCCTGAGCCTAGGAGCTCAAAGCTGTGGTGGCCTGGGCTCGGTGGCTCAGCCTGTAATCCCGCGCCTTTGGGAGGCTGAGGTGAGTGGATTGCCTGAGCCCGCGGGTCCGATACCCGCCTGGGCAGCGAGACCTCATCTCTACAATAAATCAAAAAATCAGCCGGGCGTGGTAGCACATGCCTGTAATTCCGGCTACTTGGAATGCTGAGGTGGAAGGATCTCCA